TTTAGACAATATATCATTTTCTATTTTAAGTTGGATGATGTAGTTGTATGTCACTTTGCAGGTATCTGTAACAACTCATGTTATTGCAAATATTTTAGCTTCTTTATTTTCAAAAGGTTTTGGAATATCTCCCGACGACCAGGAGGAAGATGGAATTGATACCACTGGAGATTCAAATGGTACAGGCATGGGAGAGGGTGTCGGATTAAAAGATGTGAGTGATCAGATTGCTGACGAAGATCAGTTGCTTGGAACAAGTGAACAGGTTAGCTTTTACTTGTATATTTTGCTGATTTTAAGATTCTTATCAGATTTCTGATATTTATAAAATGTACTGGTGTCAATACTGCAGCAAAATGGAAAGCAAGATGACACGGACAAAGTGCCAAGTAGCAATAATACAGGGATTGAGATGGAGCAGGATTTTCAGGCTGATGCATTGAGCCTCAGTGAAGACTCTGGAGAAGATGATGATACTGATAATGAGGATGGGGAACTTGAGTCTGAAATGGGACCCACTGGGCCAGACAGTGAAGCAGTGGGTGAGAAGGTTTGTGATAAGAATGAAAATGAAACTCCCAATGATACAAGAGAAAAGTATGAATCTGGACCTTCGGTTAAGGATAGAGATGCAGGCAACACAGAGTTAAGAGCCAAGGATGACTCTACAGCTAATGAACCTGCGGATGGTAATTGTAATGAAGGTGATACTCAGGATGATGAAACTGTAATACCAGATGATGTAGGTGATGGAGAGAAAGAAGATGAACTGACAATGGACAAAGAAACAGCATATTCAGATCCTACTGGGTTGAAGCCTGATGAGTTGGATCAAACCTCTGACATGGATTTGGATTTAAATGAAGATGCACATCTCATGGAAGATGCAGAACCTGATGAGCAAGATAATATAGCTGAGAATGGAAAGGAAGAGAAGCAGGAAGAAGAGACTTGCTCGCCTGACGAAGTTATGGAAGAGGCACATACTGAAGTTGATGTGAACTCTGAAATGGATGGTGAAGGTCAACAGAATGCAGACATGCACTTCACAGAACCAAAAGAGGATATATTTAAACCTTCGGAATTGATTAATGAGGAAGTTTCCCCTGCCGAATTAGCATCACAGTCCAAATTTGATTGGCAGACATCTGGTTCTGAAAATGTTGCAGCAGAGTCAAATTTGTCTAATAGCCATCATGACTCTGAGTCTACTCTGTTGGGAGGTGTGCCTTCAAGTATATCTGAGATGGATTTTAAGATGTCTGACTCGTCAAATGGTGGGGGATTTGGTGAAAATCAACCTAAATCTCATGATAATCCCCAGAGTGAGCGTTCCTTTATTCAGGAGAAGCATACTAATCCTCGTCGGAGTATAGGTGATGCACTTGAATATCAGAAAGAAAGAATTAATGTATCTGGTGACGCTCAGGAAGATAACAGTGAGAAACAGGATGAGACGGAAGATGACAATGCTGATGAGTATGGCTATGTTTCTGAATTTGAAAAGGGAACAGCTCAGGCTTTGGGACCTGCAACACTGGAGCAGGTTGATAGAAACTTTGATGGCGACCAGCCTGATAAAGAATGTCATGCTGGAGAAGATTCAAAGTTACAGTTTGAAAAGGAAAATTCAGAAATGATTTCTGTAAATAATTCATCATCAGTTGCCAAAAATGAAAAAAAGGAGCAAGCGAATCCATCAGTCACGGAAACATTGCAGGATGATGGATCAGCGCATCCTCTTGCTAGTATAAATATTGATCTTGAGAATCGTTTGGAAGATTTGGTTTCTTTCAGAAGTTCATTCATGAGAGATAGCACAGATCTAAGCCAGCTTTCTCTGCAGGACAAAGACTTGGGTAAAGGCCAAGAACCTTGTGATGTACCTGATCATGTGAAAGATAGTGCTGCTGCCCTCTGGAGTAGATTCGAACTTAGCACAACAAAATTGTCTATTGAGTTGGCTGAGCAACTGCGCCTTGTAATGGAGCCCACTCTGGCCAGCAAACTCCAAGGGGACTATAGAACTGGAAAAAGAATAAATATGAAAAAGGTAGATAATTTATTCTTATTCATAGAAATTTTAAGCGTTTATTGACAATATATTTGTCCTTAACTTACCATCTTAAAAAAATCCAGGTAATTCCTTACATAGCAAGTGATTATAGTAAAGATAGAATATGGCTGAGGCGGACCAGACCCAACAAACGTGATTACCAAGTTGTTATAGCTGTTGATGATTCACATAGTATGTCAGAGAATGGTTGTGGTGATGTTGCTATTGAAGCTTTGGTTACTGTATGTCGTGCTGTTTCTCAATTGGAAATGGGAAGCTTGGCTGTTGCTAGTTTTGGAACAAAAGGAAACATAAAGTTGTTGCACGACTTTGACAGGCCCTTTAGTGGAGAGGCTGGTGTTAAGGTTAGCCAGATAATAACTTGACTTATAATTGGATTCTTTTTATTAAAATCATTGTGCATGTGTGGAATATGCTTGTGAGAGGATCTAAGTCTAATCTAGGTCTAACTTTTTTTTGGATGAGGAGCAGATGATATCCAATTTGACATTCGAGCAAGAGAATACGATTGCTGATGAGCCAGTTGTTGACTTATTGAAGTACCTGACTAACAAACTGGATACTGCAGTTGTAAAAGCACGACTTCCATCTGGTCATAACCCATTACAGCAACTAGTTTTGATAATTGCAGATGGTCGGTTTCATGAAAAGGTACTCGATAAAAAAATTGCTTTTATACTTTTTTTCTTAACTAATGACCTCCTTGTTCACTCATCATGAACTTTAATATTTTCAGGAGAATTTAAAACGGTGTGTTAGAGATGTATCAACTGGTAATCGAATGGTTGCTTTCTTGCTTCTTGATAATTCTCAGGAGTCAATTATGGATATGAAGGTATTTGATCTATTATGATGCTTAAATGTTCTTTAATAGAGAGTATTGTAGGCAACTTTTCTTCTCACTTTTAATGACGTTCTGGACTGCAGGAAGCTTCTTTTGAGGGTGGGAAGATGAAATTTTCCAAGTACATGGATTCCTTTCCCTTTCCCTACTACATTGTTCTGAGGAACATTGAGGCACTGCCTAGGACTCTTGCAAACCTATTGAGACAGGTTAGTTTGAGTTTCTTCCCCCTTTCGTTGAGGCAGAAATATAAATAAATGAAGATTCTGGTTAAGAAAGTGAGTTATATTTATTTTCTTTTGCTTATTTCAGTGGATGGAGCTTATGCAGCATTCATCTGGTTGAGGACTTTTATGCTGCAAATTCCATTTTGGCGGAGAGCGTCTGCTCCCTATTTTGTATTTAGTAGTCTACAAAATTGTACATACAGTTCAGTGTTCAGATGCATCTTTTCTACCCATTCTTTCTTTGTATATAGATAATATAGTTCTTCAATTTAAAGTACAGATGCTGCATCATTCATTTTTTCAGCAAGTGTTTACAAGATGATCTTTAATATTGTCAAATTAATTTAGATAAATACAAGTTCAAAAGTTCTTATAAACTGCCGAGTTGTAAGTCAAAATTCTTGTAAAACTTTCTATCTCCTCACTGAAAACTAGTTAAAACTTATAATCGATTTAAAAATGAGCGAAACACTGATTTGATTGAAATTGTCTATGAAATTAATAAAATGGTAAAATTATAGCTTATCAAACAATTCACGAGTCCTAAAAATATAAATCTTAAACCATTTGAATTAGAAATAGGGTGCCATATTGTTTTTAAATTTTGAAAACTTGATTTTTGCGGTCCTAGTTAAGATAAAGTGCGTTTCTGCATTTGATCAAATTTTAGATATACTGAATATACGCAATTTAAATATTTAAGTCTTTTTTTTTAATGTACGGAAAGTTGATTTTTAACCCGTAAACCTTAGCAAGTGATTTTAGTTAATTGTATATTCAATTTTTCATCAATCGTATTACCAACAAATTTTTAAATGTATTTAATTCTTACATTTAAATTTTAGATAGACAATTTAATGATGAACAAGATTTATATATAAGTTTCTCGTTAAGTTAGCATCCAATAACTCACTTCCTACTATTACCAGAATATAACAAAGATGAAGTTTTAGTCTCACATAAGAATTAACCCTAAACATACTTAAGAGTATTCATAAATCATACAAATTGCTATTCTTTATGTTTAAGGTTAAGTCATTTGCTCATAAATACAGACTGCTAGACACTTGAATATACAAAGCTACAAAACCATGTATGCCGGCTTTTATATGAATATTCTCATGATGATATGTGAACAATGTGATTCCAAAATCCGAGTTTTCGAATTAGGATTCTTATAATAATGATTATACAAAAAAAAAACCATCAGTTGCAGGCTATATTAATTAATGAATTTTAATTAATAAAATACTCAATTTCGTGAATTAACAATACAACTGTTATATGTTATTACTTCCATGAATTAACACTACAATTGATGGAGCTCTATGTAAAGCTTTAGAGAGTAGAACTAGCGCATTCCTTAAACATGATAATGTTAGGACCACCAATCTTTTCTCCTCCACATCATAAATTTAAACTGTCTAAATGTGATAATGTCAGAATCTGTTTAATTCAATACATTTTAAGAGACACTCAAAGTTTTCATATTTTATAAATTTTTAATGTATTGTGAAACTTTATAAAATTTACTAAAGAAATTATACGAACCATTTTCTTTTTACGATACAGAAAATTTAAATGTATAATTACTTGATTTTGTTTGTAGATCATCATCATCCAATGGGATTTCTATTTTGAAATCAAATTTAATAATATAATAGATTTATTATTTTAAGAATAAAACTCCAAGTGAATTAAAATTTAAAACAGTTAACCCTACCTACCTTCATGCAATTAAATATAACTACGCTGGCGTGACATGCAACATAACTAGTTCATTTCCTTGAAGCTATAGGTAGGAAAGATCTATTTACGAAGAAAAACCATTGAGAGGGAGTAAGGGAAAACGATGAAAGGGTGGAGAAAAGCTTTGAGAATTGTAAGCAATTGGTTGGCACACAAAGACAAGGATGAATGGTTGAAAGACATGAGAGGAATGCTGAGTTTGGTGGCTACACTAATGGCAACTCTCACCTTTCAAAGTGCTATTAATCCACCTGGTGGTGTTGTTCCTGCAAATGAGAATGGAGAAGTTCAATGTCAAAACAGTTCGTGTTCTGGACAAGCTGTTCTAGCTCTGGTTTATCCAAACGATTATACCACCTTCCTTTACTGCAACACTATATGCTTCGTTTCATCCTTAGCTGTTTGTCTCTTACTTGTGAGTGGACTTCCTCTAAATAATCGCTTTTTCACATGGCTGTTATCCATAGGGATGTGCATCAGCATCAGCAGCCTCACTCTCACCTACTTGTTTGGTGCACAAATGGTTGTTCCTGACATTGTTTGGGGTCCAACTACCACCATGTTTGGAAGGGTTATTTTAGTTTGGATGATACTCTTGGCACTCATCGCCTTCTTCCTTTCCCTTCGCCTCCTTGTTTGGATCCTCACTAAATGCATTTACAGACAACGTGAAGTACGAATAACTCCAACAATCTAGTTATCTTCTTCCATTGTCAGTCATAGATTATCAGACATGACCTTGTTTTAGGTTGTTGTGTAATGTTATTAGTCATAAATTATCAGACATGTTTTTCACTGCACATGTCATGCATGGTAGTAAGTTTTATCAACTCTTTCTGTAGTTTTTTTCTTCAAGGGCGAAGTAACAAATGTATCGTTGCTCGTTGCGATCTTACTCACATTGAATTTAAAACCTTTCTGCATACTACTAACCCTTCCCTGCTGGATTGATATCTTCATGATTTTCATTGTTCTTTTTCTAGTTTTTCATGCACTGGTACAAAGACAGGTAGAACAATAGTTGATTAATTATTCATATTTTTATTATGTAAAAAAATAGTTACTGCAACGTTTACCACAATAACATAATAGTTGTGGCATCATTTTCATAACAAGGCCGATAAAACTGTATACTCTAAAAATGGTTTCGAAAAATGATATAATCGGCAAGAGAGAAAGAGATAATAGCATAATGAAATAAAGGAAGCTTAGTAATTATCATGATTGAAAGCGACTATTTCTTAATATATACATTCAATAGCTATTTAAAATTGTCATACAATGTTAATATATATTGTTTAGAATTTAACAGAAATACGACGAAAGATAAAGTTCCAAGAAAGTGACAAATTGAGAGTAACAAAATGTGATTCAGTATTTTACTTCATTTGTAATTATGCTAAATGTTGACACTACTTGTTGTTAGAGGGAGGAGTTGATCTCTTCGTAACTGCTGTTTTCTTTCAAACGCGACGTCCTTTTTTTTTCTGTCAAGACTGTTGTTTGATTTAGCAATCTCAAAAATTGAATGAAATAGGTTTAGTATGGTTATCTACAGGTTCTTGGTAGCTCTGAGGAAAGCTACTACACACGACAGTGCAAAGGTTGTTTTTAACTCTTGCCGGCTTAGGCAATTCAATCATGAACTCCAATGAAAACCCTTTTCTAATATTCATCAAATTCAATGTTCCTTCTACCAAAATTTAATCATCCTATTATTGTGTTTATAGAAGTCGGAATAATTTGAACAATTTTAACTATTAGATTAATAATTGCGAATCCTCAATTAGCATATCCACTACAACATTCGATTAAATTACTACATGCTCTCTATTTTCCTCCTCTTCAATTTAATACGTTCTGCAATTTTACATAACAAAACGCAACTCTCCAATCACGTAGAACCAAACCCAGATTTCTCTACGGATCATTATATATTAATAACTTTTTTTAAAACAAAGTGTCATTATTTGATTGGTTTGTATATTTGAAACAATCCAATCATAAATTACTACCGTAAAAATATTGTTAAAAAATATTTTCCTTTCTCTACACAGGAAATTTCCCAGAAAATATATTTTCTCACCCAACATATATGACCAGGCTTTTCTCCAAGTATATTTAAATATATTAATGGAAGTGAACTGTGAAGGCATTTGATAAAATATAATCGGATAAAATATTTAAAGAATGGATGGAATCTCACACTGTTGGACATAAAGAAAGAAGACGGTCTCTAATGGTGGTGGCCACAGTCATTCCTATTGACCATAAGTCTTTCTTTAATATTATAACACTTTTATTTATTCCTATTGACCATAAGTCTTTCTTTAATATTAATACTTTTATTTCTTACATTGAGTAGTATATGAATTATTTATAGATTCTTTTACATGATCCTTCAACTATGTACATTAATTATAGTTATTATTATAATTAATTAACTCTATTGAATGTCTTAATTCTTACTAAAACCAATTGTAACTTTTACAACTTGAGGTAATTAATATAACACTTTACAACTATTCAGAAGAATACTCCACAATTGCAACAAAGAGTTTCCAAATTGCCATAAACATAATGCTGTTTGTGATTATTCTATACACAATTTCTCCTTTTTCTCTCCTAGGAGCCACCGGAATCCTTTTGTTTTACCCTTCCACGATTTCTCCCTCCTTTTCCTCCTACAAGTGGTTCTACAAAGCCATTTTTCTTATCAAATTTGGTTGAAGGACACGAGGGAGATGCTGATTTTGGTGGCTAAAATAATCGCAATTTGTATGCTGCTTTTTATTATGTAACTGCAACATTTACCACAATAAAATAATAGTTGTCGCAACATTTTCATAATAAGGATAAAACTGTATAAACTAAAAATAGTTTCGAGAAGTCATCTAATCGATATTTATATATATGTGAAAAATAGTAAGCAACGACTATTTCTAAATATATACATTCAATAGCTATTTAAAATTGTCATAGAAATGTTAATGTATACTGTTTAGAATTTAACAAATACGTGAGAAAGTGACAAATTGAGAGGAAAAAAGGTGATTAAATATTTTTTTTGGAATTATGCTAAATATTGACACTATTTGTTCTTACAGGAACGACTTCATCTACTCGTAATTACCGCTTCCCTCAATAATGATTCAATATTGAAATACCTTTCTTTCTAACTAAATTATTTAGTAGTGGTCATTTTTTTTACCAATGAACCTGATTTTTATTTTACTATTAAATTTCTAGGAAAAAAAAACACTATAAAAATTTGATATTAATGAGACAAAAATAAATTTATATAAGACATCAAAATATGACTCTCAGACTAAACACTTAAAACATTAAATTTATAATTTTTTTTATTTATACAATATTCATAGTTTTTCAAGACAGTATTATGAGTTAACATTGTTTTGATCCCTATAAATCAAATGGTCATTATCCGTAAAGCACCCTGTTATTTAAAATATCTAACCATCCATCACAAACAGTGAAGGTAACACTGTATGTCTGTCTTGCCCAAGTGGTCATATTTTAAAACCTAAGAAATCATATACAACGACAGTCAAAGACGATGGGCTCTTAGGTAAGCATAGTTCGAAGAAAGTATACTCCATGCACAGGAAATTTCCCAGAAAGTATATTTTCTGAACCTATGACCAGGCTTTGCTCCAACTATAAATATGGAAGTGTGAATGAAAGAAATGAATGCTCCTTTTTATTCCCATCTGATTAAATATTTTGAGATAAAATATTTGAAGAATGGATGGAGTGTCACTGCCAACGAGCATGGTGACTAGAAAAGAAAGGAATAATTGGATGGAAGAGAAAAGAGGGTCTCTAATGATTGTGGCAACTGTTCTTGCAACAATGAGTTTCCAAATTGCCATAAACCCTCCAGGGGGTGTCTGGCAATCTACCTCACATGAAGAACAAGGTTGTAAACATAATACAATATGTCACGCAGGTACTTCAGTTTTGGCCTTTGGGGACAGCAACCAAACGGGAAAATTTGAGATATTCATGTTGTTATGTACCATATCTTTCACAGCATCTCTCATCACAATCATATTATTCATCTGTGTAGATTCCCTTAGTAACAAGCTTATCATGTGGTTGCTCACCATTCTCATGTTCATCTCACTAGTTTGCACAGCAGGAGCTTACGCAATTTGCATTTGGATGATACTCATTCCTCTTGGTAAAGATATTCGACTCGCAGCCACAATTTATGCATGGTTTTGGGTAGGGTTTACTGTTATGGTGTGTGTGGGTTTCTTCTGTCGTTTGTTTCTGAAGAAGTTTTTCTGCTTCTTGCCGCTAGAAGATTGTATACTGTAGAATCCACGTCTCAAACATTCACAAAACCTAGTACAGGATCTGTTTGAGCTGGGTTTAAATTTCTGGTGATAATGTTTTGGATATCTAAGTTTCAGTTTAGGGATTGATATGGAGGGAATCTGGTAGAGAGCTAAATTAGTACTTTTATGTATGGTAGATTTTATTCCGATAATGTTTTAGTTTAATGGATTTTTTTGGTGTTTTTTTTTACTGATCTTCCAAATACATTATATATGTCGATATATTGCAAAGATTTTTAAAATATTCATTTGAAAACATAATAAAAAGATGATACTAAAAATTTAAATTCCAAATTTTCGTACTAGTATAATTTTGTCGAGAAAAAATAATTATAAAATAGATAAATTATTGGAAACTTTTAAAGTGGATAAGTTATTTATGAGAAGTTCACTTCAATTTTAAAACAAATATAAAAGTCATTATCAATATACATATTGATAATGACAAATATAAAAGTCATATTTAATATACATATTTTTTTATATATTAAAGTTATTATGTTTGGGAAAAATAATTACAATTTATTAATTAGGTATGAGTTCAATAAGAAAATAAATAAAATAGTTTTATTAAATACAATTTTAATAAGAACTATGATTTTTATTATATTGTAAAAAATAAAAAGTTGAAATCATCTTTTTCATGGATATCTTACATAATTTTAAAGTTATTTTTACCATTTATTCATTCTAATATTTTCTTGCAAGAATGGTAAATTTTTCAGTTTTCGCAGTATATGGATTGATGAATGCTTTTTTTATATAGTATAGTAAAGTAAAATGGATTCGAAAAGTTTTGGTATCGTGTGCGGAAGAAAATTAATAATTGGCGAAGTGGCAATTTTTATATTTGTAGAGTTGAATGAATCACCCGTAAAGATTTTGCTACCAATGGACTTTGTTTCATCCCTCACGTTGGTCGTCTCAAAACTCGGCAGTCACCTTTTCCAGCTAGGCCTCCCTACAACCTTGTATTACCAAAATACTCAACATGGAATCATTTAGGAATGTGGTAAAAAAGGGTTAAGTTTGGTAGATAAACTCGTCAGTCCGACAAAAAAAAGCAAGTTATAGATTAATGTTTTACCAATTTAATCCGTTAAGTCTGACAGTTTGACAAGTTAGTCCAACATTTCCGTCGAATCAGCTCGACAGCTCGGTTTTATTTAAAAGGAAATGAATACTTTATATTAACATAATCTAACAACTCAATCTAACTCAACCAGGATTTAATACATTTTTGCTGAAATTTGATATCATCCAAGATATATAATACAACTCAATCAAGATCTAATATAACCATCAATCCATCATTTGTTTGATTTCGTATATA